CCAGTTTATGAGTAAATGTTCAATCCTGCCGTCTGTTCCCCACACCTTCTGAGAACCCCAAGATGAAATGACAGTAGAGTAAAAGTTAAAAAGTCCAAATAAGCCCACATATCAGCGAGTACCTAGTCCTCATCAATCTTTTGGAAAATGCAACTAAGCATGACTGATCCCAAACTCAGAGGACACCACCAGTGGGATGGAGTTCCCTAAAACTTGAGGCCTAGAGCTGCTGAAATCAGGTGGAGTGGGGTGTCAAGACTGCAACAGGTTACTGCTCCCCTCAGACTCCAACTAGACACTGATTGCCTGAGGATTTCTGTCAGTGCTCCCTTGTGTAGTAGAGTAGGCCAAGGGCACTCTTTGAAAAGTGGACCATAAGGATAAAAGCTCTTAGAAATAGAGGGCACTCAATCCCAGAAAGACTTGGTGGAGGGAGCGTGATCCTGTCTTCTTATCTCTGAAGAGCTGCCATGCAATTTGTTTAATCAGTTTTCCTGCATCTGTTTCCAGAATGCAAGAATCAATTTGATATAACTTTCTTGGTTCACCCATAGCCCCAACTGTAGGGCTGGTATGTGAATATGGTGGGGAACTCCATTAACACTGTAGGACGGTAGGTCAAAAAGTATTTCTACAAGACACCATTATTCAAAATATGAATACTGTTTTTGACACATCCTCCATCTAGGTCTGAAGCTGGTGTTTCTGTTTCTCTTCCCTTAGTCCTAGTGTGGTGTTGTAGGATAAGAACAGGACTTATCCAGTTCAAACCTGCCAGCCACTCCCCAAAACCCTATACAGGGTCACTACAAGTCAGAACCAACTAAACAGCACTTCATGACCACCACCCTTTCCTGAAGAATTCTGTGCTCTGATTTACAACACCTGGTCAACACGGAAGTTTTGGCATCCTTGAGAGACTTAAATTATGTTCCTTTAAATACTCCTTGAGTTTGGGGAACAAAAAGAAGTCAAGGGGAAGGTCAGGGCTGTATGATGGATGGAAAAGGTTTTTACTAAAACAATCTTGTGGGACAGCCTCTAAGAATGAGGAAGTGCATTGTGATGGAAAAAAATTTTTCAGTGCAATTTTCTTGGCCTTTTTCTTACCAATTCAGTTTCCAGTTTTCTTAAAACTTCTTCCTAGTAAGCCCTCATGATCGTCATACATCCTCTGAGAAAAATCATCATATTTACCCCTTTGGAGTCATTTCTCTGCCTTGAATTTAACTGGTCCAGCAGGTCGCCTTTAAAGCCACTTGTTGTTGTTGTTAAGTGCCATCGAGTCGGTTCCGACCCATAGCGACCTTGTACAGGGTTTCCGAGGGTGTAAATCTTTACGGGAGTAGAAAGCCTCATCTTTCTTCCGCGGAGTGGCTGGTAGTTTCGAACTGCTGACCTTAAGGTTCGCAGCCCGATTCGTAACCACTATGCTACCAGAACTCCTTTTAAAGCCACTAAGACAGGTGAATTACTGAGAAAACTTGTCTACAGCCATTCACTGGTCACATTAAAACATGTTTAGGAATAAACCTGAGCATGTATGAACTGGAACCCTAGAAGCAATACTTTATTGACTTTGGTTTGCACATTTGTGAACAGATGTTAGAGGACTTTAGTTGATGTACTGTGGATTATATGCCCTCTAACGTTAATGCCAAGGAGCGCTGGTAGAGTGGTGGGGTATGCGTTTGCTTATTAACCTCAAGGTCAGCAGTTCAAATTCACCAGATGCTCTACAAGAGTAAGATGAGGCTTTCTGCTCCCGTAAAGATTTACAGCCTCAGAAAGCCTATACAGGGTCACTATGAGTTTGAACCAACTTGATGGAAGTCAGCAGCAGCAAAGTTGCTGATGTTTCTGATTTTATTATATATTTCTTGATTGATTCACCAAATAGTTAAGAGTGTGCCAAATATCCTCAAACTTCTGTCCTGTCTTCTAACCCTAGCTTGAAATAAATGCTCTAAAGCCTCTGGGGAACTTGGCACTCCAGCTTTTGGGGCTTCTGGATGTACCTCACCCTTTGTACCCAAGAGGGTGGTTTGTGTTTGTTCAAGCAGCAAGATGCACACACATACCCTCACGAGTATTACATATGTAATCCAAATTATAAATAAGTAGTAGGTGCTCAATTAGTGAATGAAGGATAGAGCATCTGTATGGATTGTTTTGTGCTGTATAGCAGTACTTTGTCTTTTTACGTATTATGGAATCAGGACAGAGTTCTATCACCCCTTTCAGAGCTGGGTATTCTCAGAGTAGATAGAATTATATTTCCTTCACTTTCTCTGTCCCCTCAGGTATTTTGTATGTAGCTATTAATTCCATCCAAAATCCTAAGAAACATGAACTACATCAATCAGAAATAATATGCACAATAAAGATCATGGTAGGTATGTGAGTGCCCATGAAAGAATAAATATGAGTTAGCAGTGTCTGATGCCAATCCAAGTTCCCTAAACCTAAGTGAAGGCTACTGCCTCCTGGGTAACTGTGTGCCAGCTCCTTGAGCTTAAAGGTGGCCACAAATTACCTGAGAGAGAAGGCCAATAGCAATACTGGTCTAGGATATGCAAATGTACATGTGTTCTGTGAAGACAGAAGAATTGATGTTTTCTATCTGGTCACGTACTGGTTACGAATCGGGCTGCAAACCACAAGGTCAGCAGTTCGATACTACCATCTGTTCTTTGGGAGAAGGATGAGGCTTTCTGTCCCTGTAAATATTTACAGCCTCGGAACCCCTGTACAGGGTTGCTATGAGTCAGAACTGACACCACCACCAGACAACAAAAGCCAGGGACAGCAGAACTTCTTGGAAAGAGCTGGTGACTCCTGAGCGCATGCTGTTGCTGTATGTCCTGAAGCAGACGGGCTGCCATTTACGAAAGTTACTGAAGGGTAGAAGGGGAATGAATGTGTGGGCGGCTGCAGTAAGTGTAGGTGATGATGGGATAAATGTGAATATTGTTGGAATGAATCTAAGAAATTTTCCAATAAATAATAGAAACTGTAAGGATTACAGTTAGTAAGATTCCTTATGTTAGGGTCCTCAGAGGAGACAGGGTCTGCCTGCTGGCTGGGCCTCCGCTGCAGGGGGTGTTTTTCTTTCACACATTTCCTTCTCTCAACATAAAAAAGAGAGCTCTGGTAGCGTAGTGGTTACGAATTGGGCTGCGAACCTTAAGGTCAGTGGTTTGAAACTACCAGCTGCTCCGCGGGAGAAAGATGAGGCTTTCTACTCCCATAAAGATTTACACCCTCGGAAACCCTATACAGGGTCGCTATGGGTCGGAACCGACTCGATGGCACATAACAACAACAACAACTATTAGATTGCCTTCTAGAGTTTCTTTCACCTTTCTTCCTATAGCTTGCCTTCTTTTGAAGATTATCCATCAACTATCCTGAATCCTTTCAAATTTTTTTTAAACGGATAAAACCTTTCCACTCCTACCCTCCCTCTCCACCCCATCAAAAAATAAAAATAAATTCTGCAAGCACATGTGAAGAACCTCCTACTGTGGTGAGTGGAGTGCAGTGCTCTGTGGGCTGACCTGGAATGACGTGGATGCTTTTGAAGGAGTAGTCAAGGGGGGGCTCCTGAACCGAAGTCTTCTTATAGTCCCGTTTGTTCATAGCTCATGCCATCGTTGGTCATGTGCAAGCATGGGCCCTGGGAGTCCTGGTGCAGCCTACAAGGACAGAGAAGGACTGCTGTTCCTGACACAAGGGACATTGGCCTTCAGGCCTCCCCACAGTCCTTGTCCCCTTCTTTCTACCCTCCGCTATTCTGGGCCTGCATGCTCAACTACATTTCCATTTTAAGGTACTAATCCTGGTTTCTTGCATTTTTAGAATACATCCTATTTCTCAGAACACCTTCACATCACATAGATAGAACACCCATTTTCATTTTCCAGATGAAGAAACTGAAACCCAAAGGGTGAAGAAACTTGCCCAATGTTAAGCCAGTGAGTCAGTTGTGCACTGCAAGCATGGTCTTCAGATTCCTACTCTGAGGCCCTTTCTTAGACTTCACTGTAGTTACCATGGAGACTGTCTTGGTACTTAACCTCTGGTGACATCAACTGGGCTCTTCTATTACTTAATAAATCCCCTAAGCACCTGCACAGGATGACAGCCCTTTGTAGCCTGACCCAGCTGGAAATTTGCTGCCTTTTCTGTTCAGCCAGTCTACTACATTACCTTTCATCCCAAAGACCCTACTTTTCAGTCACATCCTGCATGTTGTCACACATATAAATACACACATAAAACCAGTCTACCTCTTACTCACCTGTCACTGAAGCCTGAAATTCTACCATTAGGGATTCATTCCTTCGTTCAGGGATTGTTCCCTGTTGAAATACCCCCTGAAGATGGGTGAACACAAAGTTATCAGTCATTTACATTGTACTGTGGATTGTCTAATCAGATCCTTTCCAATTTGTTAGCTTAAACAAAGCTTAGAACAGATTTGGGAGAGTCTTGAGAACACTACTCACCTGGGAAAAGAGAGTTGAAAGCAAACTTTATCAAGGGGGTGTTTTGTTGTTTTGTTTTTAAGTTTTTATTGTGACAAGTGAAAGTTTATAGGGCAGATCATCAGTTTCACATTCAACAAATCATATACTTTGATTCATTACAATGATTATAATCCTCTCCATGTACCATCAGTTAACGGTATTTCTCTCTATTCATTTTAGCTCTTATTTTTTTTCAAACACTCAGGCATATATAATAATTTAAACCACCAAAGGGCACATTCTGCAAGCCTGCCTCCTGGTCACCAGCTCTCAGTCCGTCCCTCTTTCCATGAATTTAGAGTCCTCAGCTGCTCCCTTTCTCCACGTCCCTAGCTCTGCCTCCATCTCAGGTGTCGCTGCTTCTTTGGATAGGGTCCCACATCTGCTTATCAAGGGGTTTTGTATGAGACAAAGTTTTATTAATATATTTTATTTAACCCAATATATTCAAAATAGCACTCCAACTTGTAATCAACATTAAAATTTGTTATTTACATTACAGTTTGGTGTGGCACTGTGGGTTAATGTGCTGGACTACAAAGTTGGTTTGAACTGCAAGGTTGGTGGTTCAAGCTCACCAGCCGCTCGTTGAAAACCCTATATAGGGTCGCTATGGGTCGGAACTGACTGGAAGGCATTCATCAACAACAATATAAGTACTTAATAGCCACATTTACTGTGCAATGCTGATGTAGAAATTTTTAAATGGCAAAGAAATTAGAAGTCAAAAAAAGAGATGTGCCTGGAAATTTAGGAAACTAAGCTTATGTTTAGCTGTGAAATTCTTGGCAGCCAAAGCAAAAAGGAAAACTTTGGAATATGTAGTTTTCATCATTTGATTCAAAGCTGATAGTTTGTACGCAGAGAACAAAATTGACAAATAATTCTTAAAAATGGAATTTCTTTTAAACACCAAGGACCTAATAGTAATTCAGGTTTGGCTTAATACAGTTCACAGGTCAATTTTTAGCGATTTTGATTCTGCAAGGATGGAGTTTTAACAAGCTTAAAGAAAAGGTAACCATCTTCTGAAAAAGCTGAAAAAGCTAGTTTGAGTCACTTCACAGCTGAATTCTCTGCAAAGTGCTGGACTGGCCTGGTGGGCATGGGTTGTCAACTAGGAAGACCTGAATCTTAGATGTCAAATCCACAGGCAGACACAAAGAGTACATTCTTTGGTTGAGTACAGGAAGCTGATTTGTATTCTCAAACAAGAGCCCATCTCACTTCAACACCTACAACAGGACTGGATACTTTTCTAACAGAGAACTTTCTCCCCCTAGGTCTTGGGTAAATCCTTGATTAGGACCCCAGAGTTCTGTACTACAGGACATGGCTTTTAGCTTAAAATGTTTAAGGGTAGATTTTTGCTATGCAGCCTCCTTCCATCGGTGTGCCTAACAACTTCTGATTTTGTGTAGCACCTGCTCCTGAAGCATTTTTCTGGATGGGTTAGCATTAAAAATGGAGCCCCAAGTAGCAGGATAAATTTGTTAGTTGGAAAGTGTTATTAATCCTATCCATTTAAACTGTAGCTCAGGCTGTAAACGTGTTATTGCATCCTTTTCATCAGAACCTGGCTTCCAAAAGGCACTCAGAAAATGTGAGTTGAATGAGAGAGAAATTCTTCCAAATATAGGATTTGTTTTCAGACATGCTGCTGAGCTGTTCTTTCTAACAACTGGCCCCCAAGGTTCAGCTGTTTCAGTACACACCTCATTCACAGTAAGATATTTAATACAATTCTATAAACATGTTGGATGCCTGCTGCCCTGTGAGTGACCAAAAGGGACGAAGTCAAGATACAAACAATGAAACCGTCCTAAGTACAGAAAGACCTGCTCGATTTCTATTGATGATGGCAAACCCGCCTGCATCCAGTACCAAGTAACAGCTGCATAATTAGTGAATCCACTCATGTTTTGTTACTCAGTTCTAGTGTACTGTCTTCTGTTAAGTCTTCTTCAGATAAATATTATATTGTAACCTAAGTTAGACTGATTGCATTCACGATCCTATTCATGGTCACCCACACTGTACCCAGCCTTTTGCCCTATAACTTTGTAGTTCCATCCCACACTAATGCTGGGTCCAGCCACGTGACTTTCTTTGGCCAATGGGGTCCTAACAAACAAGAAGCTGTGAGAAGCTTACAAAGGGGAGTTTGCTCCTGGTGTGGCTCTGTGGGTTAATGCACCAGACAGCAAAGCCGTTTGAACTGCAAGGTTGGCATTTCATGCTCACCAGCTGCTCCTCGGAAACCCTATACAGGGTCGCTATGGGTCGGAACCGACTCAACGGCACTTCACAACAACTCCTTGCAAGAGATCCGTTTTGGAAGAAGTGCAGCCAGAGTGCTCCTTGGAGGCCAAGATGGCCAAACTTCCTCTCTTGTACTTCGGACATATTGTCAGGAGGGACTACTCACTGGAGAAGGGTATCATGTTTAGTTAGGTGGAGGGTCAGAGAAAAAGAGGAAGACCTGCAACGAGATGGACTGGCCAAGTGGCAGCACCGATGGACTCAAGTGTGGCAACAGTAGTGAGGTTGGCCCAGGATCGGGCAGGGTTTTATTCTGCTGTGCATAATGTTGCTATGAGTCGGTACCGACTCGATGGCACCTAAAAACAACAACAACTCCCTGCAAGTGCCATAAAAATGTGAAGGGAAAAGGGAGACATGTGCATTGAGAGACACAGACAAGAAAGCCAGTGATCCCAGCTGAGGCCATCCTATCCCCAGTGAAGATCAGGAAATTCACACAGCTGACTGCAGGCACACTGAGTGAGACCAGTCAAGACCAGAAGAAACACCATGCTGACTTGCTGTGCTTATTGTTTTAGGATGGTTTGCTATACAAGCATAGCTAACTGGACTTTAAACAAAATTTTACCATAGCCCATTTCCTCACCTGTAAAATGTAGACAAATTCTACCTTGAGAGCTGCTGTATGTCCTGTAGCAAATGCTCATCAAGTGGAAGCACATGTATTCTCTACTTCTTTATAACCTACTTCTGTCTCTTCCTGTAAGTACGAGGATGGAGACCCTAAGTCAGTTCTTCTTCTCTGACAGCCTCCCTCCCTCCACACAATTACTCTATAGTGAGTATGGCAAAAAATAGGAGAAACTCAGTAAATGCTTGATGGGCAAATTAATAGATGAATGTTTGTCTTCAAGGAGACACATAGTGGGCCCAATTTCAGGGAGAACTGACAACGCTTACATGGTGCCTTGCTCACTCCCATGGCTGTTTTTGCAGTTAGTTCTTCGGAGACGTTATTCTGCCTCAGGATGTTAGATCCTAGCACCATCCTCATCTGTCCAAACTAACTTAATAGATGATATTGTTGTTACGTGCCATCGACTTACAGTGACCCTGTATGGGGTTTCCAAGGAGCGGCAGGTGAGTTTGAACTCCCAACATTGTGGTAGAAACTGACCTTTCGGTCCAGTACTTAACCTACAGCACCACACCAGGATGGGTTATCCAAACTGACCTTGTTTTGGAATTGGATTTCTTCTTTTCCAAATTGGAAATATCTTTATTGTTATTTTCAGTAAGGGTAAACATGATAGCTAAATAAAGTTGAACAACACAGTAGTATATCATGTAGAGACTGAGTCTGAATCTTTAATTCTAACAACAATCACGACTAATGGTTTGAGAATGTAACCTCCTAGAATAAGACTGTGTATTTAAAAAACACGTGCATATGAGGGGGCTTCAGAAAGTCTGTGGAAAATGGAATGAAAAGATAATGGGATTTTTCCATGAACTTTCTTGAAGCCCCCTTTGTAAACTTTTTTTTTTTTAATTTGGAGACATACTTTTAGCTGCAGAGTATGGGCGTGTCATATTTTATAGTGTATGTGTCATATTCTAACTGTCTTAATGTTAACCAATCTCAAATTGATGAAATTTTGTTTTCAATTTTTGGAAATTTACAAACAATTAGAATTTGATTTGTTGATAGCCTATCCCTGGTCCTCTCTTAGACAAGTAGCAACATGATGGTACAGGAAGCTTCGAAGAATAACCCACAGCCTGAGGAGATCTGATAAGAGATTCAACAAGCTGGCCTAAAGAGGATTTCTTTGTATGGGTTATGGTAGATCAAAAGGAGGCCAGTAAAAGCCTGCCACACAATCTAATGTATTTATTCTCAAGTGCCAAAGGGTGGCCCAAAATTCAACCTGGATCCTGCATTCCAGCTAAATGCAACTACTCTCAGTAAGTTTCCTGAACCTGCCTTTCGCCCTCTGCTTGGAATCCAGTTTCTTCCTTATGTCTTGATAATTCTAACTTAAGAACTCAGCTCAGGTGTCACCTTTTCGGAGGTCGTCATGGTTGTGATGTGCCATGGAGTCGGTTCCGACTCATAGAGACCCTGTACAGGGTTTCCAAGGCTGTAAATCTTTATGGGAGTAGAAAGTCTCATCTTTCTCTCACAAAACAGCTGGTAGTTTCAAACTGCTGACCTCAAGGTTCGCAGCCCAATTCGTAACCACTATGCTACCAGAGCTCCTTATCTTCAAATCTAGATGTGGAACCTCTTTTGTGCTCCCATAGCACCCTATAATTATTCCTATGGTAGCACTCATAACACTATAATTATCTGATTACTACCTAGTGATGTTAAGTGCCCCCCCCCTTGATTTTCCACTCATAGTAACCTCATGTGACAGAACTGCCCCATAGGGTTTTCTGAGCTATAATCTTTATGAGGGATCACCAGTTCTTTTCATGGCAAAGTCACTGAAAGGACTCTTTGAATTAGCAGCCACCAGGTCGCCTTGCTTATATATTGTTGTTGTTAAGTGCTGTCAA